CAGAGGAGAAGGAGAGGGACTCTGCTGAGTTAGTTAGTTTGTTTGTTTTGGTGGTGTTTTTGTTTTTGTTTTTGTTTTGTACTGGAGATTGAATTCACAACCTTGCACTTGCCAGGCAGGTGCTTGTGCTGTTGAGCTAAACCTCTGGCCTGGGGATGCCAAAGCTCTGTGATGCTCTCCTCTTGGTGACAGTGGCTACAGACAGGTTGCTTGGGAGCAATCAGAGGTTTCCAAAGCTGAGGGACAAGGGATGGTCCCAAGATCAGTGCATGGCGCTACCAGGTGTGGGGCCTTGTTTGGTGAGGCCAAGGAAGGGAGCTGAGTGTATCCACCCAGAGGTGGAAGTGGAAGGTGCACACCAGCTCATCTCACGGTGCCTGGTCTCCTTAGCCTGACCCCATGGTTGCAAATGCTACACCCTATGCATTCTCACCAAGATCCTGAAATGACTCGATCAATATGGATATGGAGGTATGCGATATGTGCACAGTAAGAGTGGAGAGATTGTCCTAGGAATACAGGCCAACAGGTAGACCCTTAACAGAGGTGGTGACACATCATAACTTTTTAAAAAGGGTTTGTTCTGGAGCTGGTAAGGCAGAATTTCTTGAAGTACATTCTAGTTGATGTTAGGTTTAGGGATTTTTAAAAAAACATGTTCCATAGTCCACTTGGAAATTCTGGTTTAAAGGCAGACAGGTGTCTTAACTGCTGGACTTCCCCAGGCCTCCAGGAGGCAACTGTGCCCTGTGAATTGCCAGCAGGGTGACTCCCAGTTGTGTTGCCCTGAGTACTGAACTGAGGGGCTGCATGGGAAAAGGTTTTAGTGACTGCCTGGCCTGGAGGCAGGAGGACGTGGGAAACGATGCTGCAAAGCCAAGCTGGGCTCTGAGCCCTTTTCCTGGTTCAGGGCACCGAGGCAGACTGGGCACTCCTCAGGGCACTGAGGAGGCTTTGGGAGCAGCGCTAGCTGAGCCCCTGCAGAGGACCTTTCAACACACAGGGGAAGCAAGGCACCGTGATGAGCTCACTTTCACCCAAGCTAATTCTGGAGCCAGGAGTATTCTGTTGGAAGGGACAAGTGCAGCGAACTTCTGATCTCAGACTTCTCACTCTGGCTGTAGCCCCCTGAAAGCAGTGAGAAAGATAAAGAAAGTAAATGATGTTGTCTATCAAAGATCTTATCTGCTTTTGCTGAATGAAAGTTCAGCCCATCGCAGGGGGTCCTACCAGTGTCAATCAACAAGCATTTATTAATCCTGAATTGTGTGTCTCACAGCCGAAGTATAAGACAAGAGTTCCTGTGTTTATAGTTTGCCAGCGAGGTGCAGGAATATAAGACTGGGGAGAGGGATCCTAGTAAACACAGGGCACCCAGGAGGAGGCTAGGACAAGGGTCAGTAGGCTAGTTATAATAGCCATCTACAGGAGGTTATAACTGCATGCCACCCATCCTTCAGGAGGGGTCACAATTAGAGCTTCACATGACAAGAAGGGGCTAGTGCTGGTGAGGCAGATAGTACATGCTGCATAGTTAGAAGGAGAGGGCACTGGAATCAAGGCCTTGGGGGGTGCCCCCCCACTACTGCCAATTTACTCTCTGTTGCACAGTGGATTGAAGATTATAAAGTTCTTTGCACAATATCTGGTGATAGCTGACTTCCAACAAAATAGAAACTGCACGGGACACAACTGTGCCCATGCTGTGAGCATGAAGAGAAAGGTGGGTGGAGCGTGCTTCCTGAGAAAGCTGTGTGCAGGACATCTGGTACCTGCTGCCCGACGCAGGCCCTCCTGACCTACTCTGCCTGCTCTGACTCTAACCTGTTCTGCCACTGCCCAGGTGAAGCAGTGTCTCCGGTGCCTTTTCAGAGTGGCCGCTGGGGTTAATGTGTCAGGAGAAAGCTGCTACACGCTGTTTTAGACCCTCTTGTATCCTGTAAGCTGCCTAATACTGAAACAATGCACTGTTTTTAATTTTTTTTAAGTACATTTAATTGTACCTATTTTATCTGCATACGGAAAATTAAAGTGATGTGAATTCCTTCACAAACTCGAGGGACAAATTTAGTAGACTGACAGAAAGTCGCGTAGTTCTTCCCTGAGGGTCCTTTCTTAGTCTGAATTTTCCAGAACACCCCGGGACTTACACAACCCCGGAAGACGTGTAAGGACTTCCATTCACGGCCCCATGGGGTCAGGACCGGGAACCTCACCCACAGTTTACTGACATTACTTCTTCCCACCGCACTGCGGCGCTGTTGACAGCTGGTTCCACGCTGGCAACTAAACTGCCTATGGGTAGGTTTAGGCTGCTGACAAATTGCGTCCTGCCAGGGCATCTGCTCCATTTTCCTAAGGTGAGGCACAGGGGTTCCCGGGCGGTAAGTTCCTGTTGCTTGACTCAGCCCTTTTCCTAGAACAGGACCCTTACCATGCTGATAAGAACATCTTCCACGGAGCATTTATCTTCCCAAGGATAACCAGGGTGACCTGCCATGTTCCTCCTGCCACAGCAGAGCAATATCTTTACTCTGCAGTGGGCTCCTATCCAATAGGAATCATAATCAGATACTTTTGTTAGATCAGTGCAAACCTTCTTGATTGATCAGAGGTGAAGACACTAGGAGAAATATTGGGGGAAGAAGAGAAAGTTGATTATTTATTGGTCCTTGATTAGTAGCTATGGCACCTTGGGAAACTGATTTAAAACCTCTGTGTTATATCTGTTCTCTCACCTGTGAAGCTGGATAATATGATCAAGAATGGTGTGAGAATCAATGAGATGATTCATAATCAGCACTTAGCAATGTCTTACATAACGTAAATAATAAGCAATAGCTGTGATTCTAGGTACTTCATGACAATGCTATTTGACTGCTTTATATCAGCACTGGTGTAGTCCCTGTTTGTGGAAGACCTTTAGTGCTACAGAGCATCATGCTGCTTAGTAATGATGGGCTCCACAGCTTCGCTGGGCTTCTGTACGGGGAAGAGTGTCTGTGACAGGAAGGAACTATTCACTCACAGATGTGTTCCCACTTGTTTTCCCTGGCAAGTTATCCATTCTGTTCTAATAGTAAAGGCCAAACTCATAGAGAAACACACAGTTCTGCCATGAGGCTTTTTGTCTGAGCCAGTTTTATGAAAACAATGTCAATAGTATATGAATTAATTAAAAATAAATAAGCTATGTGTATTGAAGCACAAGCAGAGGTTGTTATACTTATTAAAATTGTCATTAATGTAAATATGTTTCTGACCTTTGTCAGATCAAATTTTAAAAAATAAAGTTGACCATGACCAGATGGGCACCATGTTGGAAAGAAGAATCTAGATCCCAAATTGCTACAGAAGAAGGCTGCTAGCAGGTATTTTGAGCAGCCTTTACATGCCCAGCACTGAGCAAGGCACTGGGAGCAGGGCACCAAAAAAGCAAATCCCCAGCTCTGTCTCCCACTCTGGGTGCTCTGAATGAATCTCACAATGCACAGCTTTGAAAGCCGCTGTTAGGAGCTTCTGCACTGTGTTGCAGAAGCTATATTTACCTCTCTCCTATGGATGACAAGGTTGGACAAAGCAACCTTGTTTGGGCACAGAGGCCCAAAGCCAGAGTCAGGGTCAATGTGAGGAATAAGCAAGTATTGGAAGCATCAGGGTCCTGATGGAAACAAGCACTCCTTTGGGGAAGAAAATCTTCCACAACCTCCTCTTTAAAATGCTGCGGAGCCCTCAGAGGCTGTGGAGAAGGGGAGGCACGCGGGAATCGGTCCTGCCATCTCCTGCATATTCTTCTACTTGAGAATGAGCACAAGTCCCATGATACTTTGAATCCTTGATTGTTTTAGGTTCTCATTCAGCGTGGAAGACAGAGCTAGCTGGGAACAGGCTTGAGGTTTGCAAAAAAGACAACGGTGGGAGGGCACAGAACACACTCCTGGGAACCTGAGTCTGCCACTGACCTGCTCATCAGGGAGACAGCTGGCCCCTTTCTGTCTCATAGAGAAGCCTTGACACTGCTTTGTTCCTGTGGGACGCAGTACCCATGCATTCATTCAGTAAACAAGAGAAGAACAGTAGTAGCCTGACAAGTGTTAAAATAGCATTTAGGGACCCAGGACATGCACAAGAGAGGGGGACAAGATGGCTTACTTGAGTGGCTTACTAGAAGCAACACTTGATAACCACTGGTGATGAGGCTTGGTAGCATCTGAACTCAACACAGACCAATTATTTCTAAAATAACAACCTCCTAAAGACTGGGACAGGTTACATGTAATTAAGTCCCACCCTGACAAGCCCACCTCCCTGCCTGATTCCCTCTCAGGTATTCAACAAGGTTTGTGGAACATTATTATTTGCCGGAGGCCTGGGCTGGGCTCTAGGAATGTAACAGCGGAAGAATAAACCCCTCTATGAAGAGAGGCCGAGGGAGGATGGAGGGTGTATCTGGGACTCCCACAGTCTGGGCAGGGAAGGTGTTGGCCATCGACTCTCTACCGGACAGGGGGCTTTGAAAGTGCCAACACTACCTGAGTTTCTTGTGTCGAGGGTTAACCTGTGATTGCTGCTGCAGTCTTGATGATTAATTGGCCATTTCTGAGCCCCTTTTAAATATTAGGCCCTGGGAGGCTCAGTGATGAAACTTGATCGGAATTCTCAAAGGAAATGATGTAACTGGGCATTTTTATACTTAGTGAAAAGGCTGCGAAGGAAACCCTAGACACTTGTTTCAGCCAGATCCTGTAGGAGGTGTTTTGGAATAACCTTGTGCCATGTTTGATTCTCATATCTAGTTGATCTCTTGTGAAGGAGGTTTTCAGTGTTTGCTTTATGGAAACCACAGCTCCAGGAGGGCTACCCAACTATTAAGAGGTGATCTGAGCCCTGATCCGCAGCTCTCCAGAAGACACTGCCTCCTCTCTCAATGCTACAATCCCTCCTGAGGCTGAGAGGGATGCAAAAAAGCCCCTAACTCAGTTCTCTCTTCTCTTTTTTAGAAACACTTCCCCCAGACCCCATCTGTTAAGCGGGTGCACTCCTGACAGCTGCTGTAAACACAGGACCCTCAGACAGCCTGGGGATCCCTAAAGTGCGCCAGGAACAAGAACCAGACACTGGAGATCCCCCTACATACACTCACATGGAGGCTTGCGGCTGGTGCCAGTAGGAAGTGCCCATGCTTGGCTTCAGGAAGCAGGGCACTCAGCCCTGTCACCCACCCGTGAGTGGCGTGGAGTAGGGTAAGGGCTTCAGAGATCTGTAGCACCATGAGCAGGGTTGGAATATGTGCCTGCTGAGCCTCTGCGAGGGACCACGTTTCTCCAGGGCAATGGCTCGCGTTAGAAAGTCCCCTGAAGCTACTCCAAAGGACAAAAAGAGGCCCTAGCAAGCGCTGCAGAGGTTCTGCTGGCGATGTGACTCGTCCCCGTGGTCAGAACTGGGCAGACCCCTAGCAGGGGCCACTCGGGAACCTTCTCACTCAGGGTCTGGCTCCCCGCGACACCATGAACAATAACTTCTGCCGGGCCCTGGTGGACCCGAGGCCCGTGGGTCCCCCTAGCTGCATGCAGCTGGGCGTCGTGCCCCCGCCCAGGCAGGCGCCGCTGCCCCCCGCTGAACCCCTGGGGAACGTGCCCTTTCTGCTGTATCCGGCGCCCACCGAAGCAGCTTATTACGACGGCTACGCTGGGGTGCTGCCCTACGTGCCCTTCCCCGGCGCCTTCGGGGTCTACGACTGCCCCTTTGAGCCCGCCTTCATCCAGAAGCGCAACGAACGCGAGCGGCAGCGCGTCAAGTGCGTCAACGAGGGCTACGCGCGCCTCCGCGGCCACCTGCCGGGCGCCCTGGCCGAGAAGCGGCTCAGCAAGGTGGAGACGCTGCGCGCCGCCATCCGCTACATCAAGTACCTGCAGGAGCTGCTGAGCGCGGCCCCGGACGGCACCCCGGGCCCCGGGCCGCCCACCGACTCCCGGCCCAACTGCCCCGGCGACTGCGAGGCTCTGGCGCCCCCCTCGCTGGTGCCCGAGCCGTCGGAATCCTCGGGCTTCTCGTCCTCTCCTTTCTTTGAGTCAGAGGAATCCAGCCATTGATCAGTCGGCCTCCCCGGACTCTGAGGATGCTCCCCTCTCCCGCATTCCCGGGGCGGGGGCCTAAAGCTTGGCGGTCCGTGGCGTTCTCCACCCCACCCCACCCCAACCCCACCCAAGTTTGGGCCTGAGATGTCGAGTGAGGCACAGTGAAGTGAGCACCTCGAGAACGCATTGCCCCCACCCACCCACACCTGGGCCTGCACTGCCTGCAGCAATCTCCCCACCTCCCTCCCCCAGTCCTGGGCTGCAGGAGGCCACCTGGGACTGACTCATTGGGTCAGACTACTGCTTGGCGTCAGCCTGCGTTGGGGTGAAATTCAGAGCCCAGCCCGGCTCTAGAGGCTCTGCCCTGTTCTCTGTCATCGCAGGGCAGGCCTGTTTCCCCGAACCCCCTGGAAGTGACCGAACCATGCTTTGATCCCAGTGCACTATGCTCTGGCCATCCGTGAAAGCGTCTCAGATGCTCTAAAGAGGCCACGCGTGTCCACTCCTGGATCTCTCTGGCGTCTCGGATGGGGGGTGACTGCACCCCCCCGACACACACACCCCGGCTTTTGAGTGTGGCCTTCTCCAGGGTTTTCCTAGGTTGAGTGCAGTTTCTGCTCTAAGGCTTACAAGCCTCTGGGTCTGTTGGCACTGTTTTGGCACCAGAGAGCTAAATAAAAGGACTGTGGAGTGTTGTGATTTCTAAACCATTGTCTCTGTTGACCCTGAACCCGGCTCCTTTCTCATGTATCTTCGCATCTCAGAGCACCTGGGCTAGGGTGTTGGGGCGTGCTCTTAGCTCATGCACTAACAAACATGTACAGAGCTTAGTATGTGCTGAGGGCTTGCATGCAGCACAGTGCAGAGTCTCGGACTTTGTGCAGTTAGGGGTGGGAGGAGGCCTAGTGTCACTGTAAAGTGTGGCAGGTGTGGGGTCAGTGGCGAGCACTTTCGTGGTTGTCCTGGAAACCTTCCACCCCAGCCAGGAAGGGTTCACTGTTGCCTGACAGAGGCCTGAGGTGAGGATGAGCAGAGGCTTGCACAGATCTCGGCAGGTACTGAGATGGGGGTAGGGGGTGCTGTGGAGCTGCGCTGAGCACCTTCTCAAGACAGTGCCACAAGATCCAGACTTAAGTCTGCAGGTGCACCCCTTTGTCTCCCCTTTCTAGACTCTGTTACCCCTGCCTTGAAACCTCATGTCAGTCACCAGTGCCCCTGTTTCATCCTAGGCCTGTGTGTAAGTTCCTTTCCCCCACCCTCCTCGGGGGACGAATTGGGTTGTCAGTGGCTCGGCTGGACGGAGTGACAGCTGCCTGGCCTCAGGAGCTCAGGCTGGGCAGTAGGGAGCCAGTGGAGGCTAATTTTACTCACTGGGAGCAGGAAGACTAATCCTCCACCCCCAGCCCTGCCCTCCGCCAGGCTGGCTCAGCAGGACGGGCTCAGCCAGGCCCAGTCCCCAAGGCGGGGGGCATTGGGGACACAGGGAGGAGAAGGCAGTGGGGAAGGGGAGCAGGGAAACTCGAGGTTGCCAGGGAAGCCATGGAGCCATCCTCACCCCAGGATGAGAGCCTGAAGAAGAAACAACCCAAGAAGCCTGTTCCTGAGATCCTGCCACGGCCGCCCCGGGCCTTGTTCTGCCTGACTCTGCAGAACCCCCTGAGGAAGGCCTGCATCAGCATCGTGGAATGGAAGTATCCTTGGGGGTCAGCAGTGGGGGACTGTGTGTGATGTGAGGATGGTCACCAAGGGCAGACTTTGAGGGTCGGGTGGCTGAGGACTTGGACTGGGGTTAGTTGCCGCAGCAGGGCCTGAGAAGCCTTCAGGAAGCGAGGAAGACCCCCACCACGCTGGCAAGCAGGGCTGGGTTTGGAGAGCTTCCTGGGGTTTGAATGGGCAGCCCACCTGAGAGACCATCATCCTTCTGAGGAAGGGGTTATGTCAAGGAGACTGTTTTCAGCTGTGCCCCAGTCCACATCACCATGGGGTGCCTCTGCATTTTGAAGCCATGGTCCCAGTTTGGTATTTGGTGGGCATGGGGGAACTATGGCCCCTCTGAGAATGTCATCTCCTTTGTTGAGAGGAGCCAAAGTGAAGTATGTGACAGTTGAGGGACAGCTTCCCCTGGATCCAGGGCCAGCTGGGGACAGAGCTAAAAGAGAGCTGAATTTGAAGGAAGGGACTGCACTTAGCAGCCCCAAAACATAAGCCCACAAACATGGCTGCTTTGGCTCAGACTTATTGCCCAGGGTACAGGGACTTCAAATGCTTGTCTGCATTTGCCTGAGCTCTGAGAGGAGGAGGAGGAGGATGAAAATATCTGAGTTATTTGGGGAAAGGAGGAAGAAGCTACAGAGGAGAGGAGGCCTGTGCTGAGTGAATTCTGAGAGAGACAGGAATGCCTGAAATACTTCTCCAGGGCTGTGGAAGAAGGGCCCCCTCCAGCTGCCTTTCGGAAGAAAGGAAGAGGGAAAACTAGAAAACAGTGGAGTCAGGTCAGCCTGCTCCCCACGTCAGGCTGCAGGCCTCTCCCTCTGTCTGTCTCTGGTCAGAGAAGGCCAACTGGGCCACCTCTCCCTTTTGTGCCTCCTCCCTCCTCCAAGCTTCCTCCCATCACAAGCCTCTGTCACAAGGCCTCCTCTATTCTTCAACACTGGAACTTCTTGGGAAGGAAGTGGAATTTTTCAAACCAGCCCACCCTGTAGGATGCCTCTCCGTGCCCTCCCACCAAACCACACACTACCTACCCTTTTTTCCACCCCTAACTCCTCCCCGAACTCTTGCTTTCTAACGGATCAGCAAGTCAAGAAAGACAGGACCCTGTGTCAGGGAGACAGGAGGTGTGAGTGAGTACACACTTAGACTGGTGTAGCACACAACTCTGAAAATCCCAATTTCATTTCTGTTCTCCATCTCTCCAGGCCTGCCCTGTGGGAGCTTTACCCAAACCTGCATCTGCTCCCTGCCACCCCATCTTCCTGAGGGACCCCCTCAGAGGGTTGCCTGACCACTGTCTCAGAAAGTCCTGGCTCCTTGGGAGGGACCAGCAATGGGAGTGGAAAAGCAAGGACCCCTGGGTTTCAGCCAGGTTCTGGCCCTGTGGTCCCCAGGGAGTCTAAGAGGAAGTTACCTGTTCCCGAGGAAAGGGAGCCAGGTCCCCAGCTAAGAACCCGCAGGACAGCAGGGACGGACCCTGTGGCCCAAGTCCCCAGGAACAGCCCCATCCCTATGACATTGTAGTCACAGTCCCCACTGACCCTAAGTGCTCTTCTCCTCAATCCTATGAACTGCACATCTCACTGGGGGTCTCCTTAACCCTGGCACCAGACCCTTCGAGACTATCATCTTGCTCACCATCTTTGCCAACTGTGTGGCTCTGGCTATATACCTGCCCATGCCTGAAGATGACAACAACACCTTGAACCTTGGCCTGGTAAGATAGGTCTCTTATCCCACTTCCTGTGGGCTGGCAGCCCGAGGCTGGGGCATCCCTTGGAAAGCTGTGTTCTGGTGGTGACACTGGTGATTTAGATTGACAACACAGACTCTTAGACCTTGTCTTTCCAACCTGTGGGTTTGCTGAAGTGTTCAGGGGCTTGTGTGACATCACTAGCCAGCATTGAGCAAGTACCCACTGTGCCCAGGTACTGTGCTAATCACCCAACAGGAATAAATACATTGAATCCTCACAATGACCCCTGAAAAGTAGTCCCATTTGACAGGTGTGGAAATCGAGCCTTAGGTCAGCTAGTGAGCCATGGATACTGAATGCTGATTTCCTTTCCCTGGATATAATCCAGAAAAAACTAGATCCCATGGAGCTTGCCTTATGGCAAAGTTTGGCCCAGAAGTCCAACAAAAGAGCATGCTTTAGGGCTGGAAGTGTGAGAGCACTGAGACTTGGAGAAGTTTAGGTCCTTGGCCAGGGTCACCCTGGTCAAGCCTTGTAGCAGAGCCTCACACTCCAACCTCTCTGACTTTGAAACCCACTCCCGTACCTGCTGTACTGCTGAATGATGATAGCATGAGATTTTCTAAAGGAAACCTCCTTAGAAGCAGTGCCTTTGGGGCAGGGGATGTGGCAGCAGGAGAAAGCTTGTCTAGCATGCCTGAAGCTCTGGCTTTGATTCCCAGCACCACAAAAACAAAATGGAGCCATCGTTTCAACAAGGCTTTTAGAAAGTGTGGAGGTTCTTTAATGCATCTGGGCCAGGGAGACTGGAGAGACTGTCTCTCCTTTGCTGGGAATCAGACGAGAAAGGGAGAAGCTGGCCTTCCCAATGTGTACTTGCTTTGAGTGGAAAACAGCTCCCAGTGTGGAAGGAGAGTGAGACCAAGAGGGCCAGTGCCCCGGTACTGGCAGGGAAGGGGCCCGCAGGCCTGTGGCTTCTGCACTGTAGCCCAGGTTCTCCATGTGGCGGGATTTAAAGGGCCCGGGGTCCACCCCCCTCTTCAGGTTGCCATAGTTTGGGCCTTGGCTCCATTAAGAAGTTGACTACATATGCAAGAAACTCCTGGAGGTATTAAATTACACCTCAGTGGTTACTTCATCTTCCATCTTGAAACAGAACAGCCGTCTCAGGCTCTTCAAATGGCCCACGTGTGCTTTTCCTGAGTCTCACATCAGGTGTAGACACTCGCCTATACACACAGGCTGGTGAGCTCCCTGCTAGGGGGCAGGCGGACCAGAAACCTTTGTAAAGCCACAAATGTCACCTAGCAGGTGGGATATTAACTATCAGGGAAGGACTCTGATCCGACCCTTTTGTTGTGACTTCCAGAAAGGACAGACCAGTTCCTGCCTGAGGCCTCTTCATTCCCTCTTGTAGACCATGGGTTCATCTCTGACACCCAGCAAGAGGGAATGAAAGAAGACAGAGCAGGAGGAAGGGAGATTAAATATTTATTTCCTCCTCAGCCTGTATGGTCTGTTTGGTAGGCATCTGAGAAAGGCTGGGGACTTTCTAGCTATCAAAATAGCCCGTCACTTTTAAGAAAACACGTTGAGAACTAATTCTGCATTCTCGTTCATTTTATAAATGTGTATTTAGTGCCTGTTATATCCATGGTACATACTATAAATGTGAATCAAATACACAGTTTTCATCTTTGTAGAGCTTAATTAAATTGACTCAATGGGTAATTACTATTAAACCAGTAATTAAAATGAACTGGGCCATATGTGAGGGTGGGGAGACTGATGCTCCACCAGAAGAGAACCCGAGTTGGTGTTGGGGCCAGGGGATGCTCTCCAAAGGGTATGAGACGAACCTGAGACTGAAGGATGAGGACACGACTGACTCTGTGGCTGCATGACCTGCACAAGGCCCTGAGTGCAGCGGGCCACCATGCTGCTTGTGGTTATGGTATTGAAATTTTAATGAATTTTATCATTGAATTTATGTTTTGTAAAGGAAATTCACTGGGACAATGGCACATGTACTGGGACTTGGGGACTTGGTTCACACCATGGTCTTGCTATCACCTTTCTGCCTCAAAAGATGGGTTTTCAGAGACCCCCAGACAGAGACCTGGGCACAGGAGAGGGGAGGCTCAGGGTTGAGTCCAGGGGCCCTCTGGCGTGGCAGGCAAGGGTACGGCTGTGGTGGTCCCTACTCTGGATGAGTGTGCCACAGCTCACTTAGTGGATAGCTCTGCAAAGCCCATCCCTTGTTCATGTCCTGTGTCTCCCGGAGTGTAAGTTGTGATA